GATCAATTGTTAACCGGCTAATAATACCTAAAACACTACATATGAGAGAGAAACTTTCGCCGCTCAACTGTTAGTCGTCTTATCTTATACCTAAAAACACTATATATGAGAGATATTTCTTCCGCTCAATGTTAGCCGATAACTAAACTCATACTAAAAAGAACTACATATGATAGAGAAATATTCCTGCTCAATTGTTAGCCGGATTATATTATAGTACGTACTTAAAAGAACTACATATGAGAGAGAAAATTATTCCGTTCAATTGTTAACACACTTATCTTGTATAATAATACATAAAAGCACTACATATGAGAGATTAAATTATCCCACTCAGTTCTCATCTTCAATTGTCAGTAAGATTATCTTCTAATACCTTAAAGCATTACATATGATAGAGAAATTTCTCTTGCTCAATTATTAGCAACCCTATTTTCTTATACCTATAAAATGTTGCAACTATTTAATTAAGAATGACGATAGTATACAAAAAAATTGTTGATGTTTATTTGGGTATAGAACGGAGATAATAAACATGAAAAGAGTGCAGCGTTTTTCTGTTGTTGAGCATCACACTTTTTTTCATTTAGAATGTTATTTAGTGTTTGTTTGTTAACACATTGTAAAGGAAACAATTATAAAATGTCGTCTTATGATAAATTTTAGCGGAAAATAATTTAAAGGAAAAATTGAAAATAACAATCCTAACAATTGCCGGTCCGCTAACAATAATCTCAACTATTGATTATTTTTGTATAATCCCAACTATATGGACCGTCCGCCAATAATGGTCCATGATCGCATATTACCTGCTCTAACAAGTGAATTTTTAATAGAAATTAAGTGTAAAAATTAAAATTTGGGATTATTTATAGGGATTACCTGCTATATCTCTTTAGAAACTATAGAAATTTATTTATAGTCCGTCACGTCGGACCATTATTGGCGGAAGGTCCCTAAAGTTGGGATTATTCTGAAATAATCGATAGTTGTGATTATTATAAGCGGACCGCCAATAGTTGAGATTATTACAATCAATTTTTCCTAATTTAAATACCCCAATATTTAATGAGGTGTGTAATTAGTACCATAAAATATTGTAATATATAAAAAGTTACTTTTGCACTATGATTGTATGTGCTTTACAAATGCGGATTACAAAATTATTGGAATAATTACATAATTTAAAATACTCTAAGATATGTTAGAATGGAGTTAACATTTTAAAATTTAATCTGTGAAATAAATAATAATACATCCGGTGCAATTTAATTGAATTGCATTCTCACAAATATTTTGTTTATTTTAAATTATGTACTTAATAGCATAAAATTAAATATATCGCCATGGTGTTGATATAACTTTTATATTAAGTTTGGAGTATATATATTACATATGCAAGTTTGAAATATTTATCTCTCACCCCTTCTAATTTGGTATATTTAAATTATTTTTCAATAAATTTTACGTAGTAAAAGTTACTCCCTCCATCCCGAATTGAATTGCAAACTTTGACCGGCACAAAGATTAAGGAATGATAATGAATGATGCTTGTTTTTTACATTTTTACCCATTTTTTGGGATAAAATGTAAATATATATATCCAGAAAATAGCATAGTACAATGCATCAATCCAAATCAAATGATAATCTAAGCTAGAACAAACTAACCTAGATATAATGCATGAGAATAAAATTTTACCCATCTTTCTAAAAGTATATGTTTTTAAGTTAATAGGGTAAAAGTAAAAGTAAGGTTAAAATTTTCACTTTATTCTTATTTACATACCTAAAATAGAAAGTGGAAAACCATTTTGGGACAACCAAAATAGGAAATTTTGCAAATCAATTTGGGACGGAGGGAGTATCATAAAAAGTTGACTTATGATAAATTTATTTTTCTATATTCAATATTGGTGTCATATTAAAGAGAATAAAAGGTTATAAATTTTGATATATATTTTGTAAAAAGTAGACAAAAACTAAAAAAGTTATAACAATTTTTTTAAAAATGAGGATTTTTACAGTTGTTATACTGTATGACCTGTATACGGTGAGCACCGTATATCGGCATACGGTTGGTATTTTATTTTACTTCTCGTTTTTAAAAAAATGGTAATAACTTTTTTATTTTTGATTTGATTTTTATAAAATTTATATCAACATTTTTTTATTTTTCATGATCTTTCAAATGAGACCAGTATTGCCTATGTAATTTTAATATATTATCGAACTATTATATTAACCTATGTAAAATATGTAATTTTACGTGTAGAAATATGCAACTCACGTCCAGTCAGGCCAAATGCAACGCGTGTGTATAAATATGTAACTCTCTACGTGTAAAAATATGTAACTTTACGTGTAAAAATATGTAACTCGCGTTCAGACAGGTCAAATACAACTCGTGTGTATAAATATGTAACTCACATGTATAAATATGTAATTTTACGTGTAAAAATATGTAACTTTACGTGTAAAATATGTAACTCGCGTTCAGGCAGGCCAAATGCAACTCGTGTGTATAAATATGTAACTTTACGTGTACAAATATGTAACTTTACGTATAAAAATATGTAACTCACATGTATAATAACATAATAAAATAATTTTTTTATATACACAATTTTAAGATAAATTGTGATTTACACAATTATTTTTCTGTATTAAATTTAGTTCGATTTTCTTTATAATCCAATATTCATTAATATAATAGTTCAGGCTTCTTCTATGCAAACTAGGTCACATTTGCGCTTGAAAGCTTAACCTTTAACTTAGTTTGCTTTCGTTAGCTTAGCTTATTCTTCTTTGCTGCCTTAGCTTTGCTATTTCATTGGCGCATGTATCACGATCAATCTTTCTTAAGATTGATGTCGGGATTGGTGGGGTAAATGTCGGGAGCATTTACCTGATTTTATTAAAAATTAGTTTAAATCATGTGATTACACAGGGTTGTATACGAATCAAATAATTTATGCTCGATTCGGGATTCGAATTCGTATAAGACGATTCGAATTCGAAAATTTGAAATACAGATACAAGTAAAAATACTAAATTTGATTCGAAATGTTATCACATACAAATACAAATATTAGTAAATTCGATTCGAATGTTAATCAAATATATTCGATTAATAATAGTGATAATAATAGTAGTAGTAATAATAGTTGTAAAAATACTATAATAACTAGATATATCATCAAAGTGTAGCCCATGTATACATTTGTGTATACACATTCCAAGTCATTTTGTAATAATTAGAAGTATCATAAGGAGTATGAGTTGTAAATGAAACAAATAATTTTAATTCAATTTGTAGTTTGGATTCATAAATCGTTATTTAAATTTGAAGATATAGAATATAAATATGAATACAAATCTGATTTTTGGTTCAAACATCTTTCAAATACATATACAAATAATTATGTATTTGATTCAAAGAATAATCATATATATATATATATATATATATATATATATATATATATTTGTTTATACATAAACAAAACCAACTATCTAGTATGTATGTGTGCATCAAGTACCCACTATATGTGTGTAGTGTAAACTATATATCTAATGATTTCTTTTCATTATAAATAATGCTAAATATCTAATATAAAATCCAGAGTCGTTTAACTTTGATATATACAATTATCAACTTATTTCACACATTATAGGTATAGTTTCTAATATGTATGGGTTAGTGTTTATTTCAAAAACTTTGAAATGTACTTATGTATATTAATCATTGATTCACTTTAGTATATTTTGCACAACCTAAAAATTCATCGATCCATTAAAAATTTAAGAAAACTGCAATGTTACAAATTAAATACTAAAAATGCATATTCAGTCATACCATGCATTTATAACATAAGAAATATAGAAAAAGTTCTTTTAAAATGATACTACCTCCGTCCCGGTGGACTTTGACAAGTGCAAAGTAAGTGAGAAATTAGAATAGTAAAAACTGTGTGGTTGAGATTTGTGCAGAGATGAAAGAAATGTGCAGAACCACAAATCAGTTCTTTTAATAGGAAAGTGACAAAGTTGTTTGAGACAACCAAAAAAGTAAAATTGGCAAAGTCCAATGGGACGGATGGAGTATTTGATTAACATTTAACTTAAAATGGAAACTAATAATGCAACCTTTTAACGCTCTTCTTACAATAATCCTACCTTTTCATTATTCAGGAATAATTCAACCTTTGCACCCCATCTTCATTCAATGGTCTCTGACCGGTTGATAAGTTATTATTCCAAGTTATTTTCCTATCTTTGCAAAACATTATGTGAGCATAAGGTGAGATTTATGGTATAATATATTACAAAGATAAGAAAATAACTTAGAATAACAAGTCATGAATCGACCAGGGACCAATGAATGAAGATGGGGCGCAAAGGTTGTATTATTCATTAATAACGAAAAGGTGAGACTATTGTAAGAAAGCGATTGGATTATTAGTTTCCATTTTCCCTTTAACTTATGGTCAAATCAATTCGATATTCGTATATGATTCGTTAACTATTTGTATTGTTAAACAAATACGAATATAAATCAAAAATAAAATTCATTTTATATTCGCATTCGAAAAAATTAAACAAATACAAATACATAATCACACTATTTGACTCGATTCGATTCGTTTACAACCCTAAACGCTAAAAAACTTAAAATGTGGGCGCCCAGATTTCCTGACCCATGTTCGGCCCATCAAAGCATCAGTATGCGTCCAAAGAATATTTCATCGACATAATAATAAGGGATCCCTAATACTCCCTCCGTCAACACAAATCACTCTTAATCTCTTACTTTATTTATCAAATTTTTATCAAGTTTGATTCTGGTTTTTGCGACTTTGTAAATCTTTTAATGTAGTTTCTGAATATGTAATTTTTTTTTGCTAAAAATAATTGGAGTGCGGGCAGGAATCTGTTTGCTTTATCGTCGGTCAAGCATCTTAAACCGCAATGAGACAATAACAGGGGGACGGAGGGAGTAATAACTTAAAGTTGGGCCTGGGTCGCCCTAGATTCTCGATTCTTCATCCTTTGAGAGAGAAAGGTGTAGGCAATCGATCTCCAAAGTCATCCCTTACCCGGCGTTACTGAAGAATACGGAGCCCTTGAGATCGAGGAAGTGGGCTATTTTGGCGCTGGAGGGGAGATCTACGACTGTGTATTGGGTTATGTGGTTCTGCAGGAGTCCCGTCTGCGCGAGGTGCTGTGCGACATGATTACCCTCGCGTGATCGGAAGCAAAATGAGATTCCTCTGTGCAGTCTGTAGCGTTTAAGCCTGTTTATCAGCGGAGTGAGGTATCCCGGTACGATTATATAGACGTAGACCTTCTGGTTGTAGTATCAAGAATTATTAAATTTTGAATTCTGGTTGTATTGTATAGATCTCAAATTTTGAATGAAGCTTACAAAAATATAATTTTGATAGATTACACTTCTGAAATCTTAACCATTAGTATGTGATCCACGGGTATTTGTTAACCATGATGAAACCTCTATTTTTATGTTTTTAATGTTAGTTATTTTTAGCACATTTATTAAATTGTTACTATTAGTGAATCTGTATACTTCGAAACGATTGTAGTTGAAGATATTTTTGAAGCCAGTTTAACTTATAGTAGTATTAAAATTTGTTTGTGAATGCATGTATATATATACGGAATCTATATATGAACTCAAAAACTTTTAAATAATTATTTGTGTAGTAAACTTTATGTTTCTTCTGAGCTCTATCGCTTGTAGAAAGTAGAATTTGAATTCTTTACTTTATTCTTGCTCTATTACGCTTAATATTTTATGGACTTGTGTACTATTGTCATTTTTATATCTGTTTGTATAACGATACAAATGTTAAAAGTTGAAAATGTTTCAACTTGTTGCTGAATGGAAACGTAGAAGTAATTTATCATGTTCTTTAGTCATACTCTATTAGTCTGTATGTTGTTTTTCTGAAATAGGAAGTCTTGATTTTGTTTGAGGATTGCCTGATTCCTGCAGAACAAAATTGGTTCTTCTTTACTTGTGATATTCATTCTCTCATGTTTGCAAGCACAATGACCTTATTAGTAGAAAAAGATATACGTAGTACTATGTACTATGTAGTATGTAGTATTATGAACATGCTCTAATGTAACATAGACAAATGTAACCTCTCCATATAAAATAGAAGCACACTATAGATGCTCCTCACCCTTCCTTGAGATTTAGAATGCAAATTCAGAACACTCCCTCTTCAAGAAAATCCAGAACAACTCCCTCTTTAAGCAAACCCAGAACAACTCCCTCTTCAAGCAAACCTAGAACAACTCCCTCTTTAAGCAAACCCAGAACAACTCCCTCTTCAAGCAAACCCAGAACATTCTCTTCTTTCTTCAATAAGTTTTAGTGTAATCATACACTTGATCATTGAACATACCCTTTATGATTTTGTAATACGGAGTATGTTCTCTAAATAAAAGCATCATTAATATACAAATACATATGTACATGTGTGTGTGTGCATATATATATATCGAACTTTTCTAAATGTTAGCATTAATGGATGAGTTGTGTGGGCAATCTAGTAGAATAAAGGAGCTATTTATAGTTGGGTAGTGATCCGGTATATGTTATCTGTCGTACTACATAGATTAGAATGTAAATTTGTGATTTTCTTTTTGCAGAGCAAGTTGATCAAAGAGTGATTGATATCTTTGGGGAGAAAAAACATTTTGATAGATCATCACCCCACTTGTATTCGAGATTGGAACAATACATTTTTTGATTCTGTTTTTTATACGGTGAAACTCTTGTGTAGTCACTTCAGTAGAAAGGATATCCATATAAATTTTTTACAAAAGGTCTGTTCATCTCAGTGCTTTCCTTTCCACTGTTGTACACTCCACTGTTGCGCATTATCTTAAAATTACCAACCATCAGAAAGAAACTTTAATGTACTGTACTCAACATTGTTATTTACTTACTCCATAATTTTTAATTTATTTTCTATGGGAGAGTATTAATTTATTTTAAATGTGCCCTAAGATCCGGTCCATTGCTATTGATATTGATGTTTTTGAGCGGGAATCATGTTCATGATAATCTTTTGCTTTTATAGATTAATAGATTTCCTAAACACCATGCGCCACCTCATCAATCGCATGCTCTGGAATGGGATCGCAGCCACCCCTATTTCAAGAGCCCCACCGCTTTGCTGCGAAATTCAGAGTGCTTATGTTTCTCAGAGGCGGTATGGACTTGTGCCTATGGTTATAGAGCACTCGTCTCGAGGGGAAAGAGCCTATGACATTTTCTCGAGGCTTCTCAAGGAGCGCATAATTTGCATCAATGGACCCATCAATGACGACACTTCCCACGTTGTCGTTGCTCAGCTCCTCTTTCTCGAGTCTGAGAACCCCTCCAAGCCCATCCACATGTATCTCAATTCGCCTGGAGGCGCTGTCACAGCAGGTAACTTTAGTTAATTTCTGAATTTAATTTTTTTATAGTTTCCGGTAAATTTTTAAATTTGCAGTCCAGTAGGTAGTTCAATGTAGAAACAGGGGCCTCGACGCCTATCTTCTTTTTGTTTATGTTACTTCTTACTCCTGAATTGGTCTAAAGTAATTGAATTGAAAGGGCATATGTGTCCTTGTAGATAAGATTCATATCATTACTATATCATGTGAAGTAGAGCTCAAATGCAGATAGAAAATGTTTCCTTCTGCACACGTCACAGTTCAGTTGAATTAATTTTTGTTTGATTTAGTTAATTAGTTACAGTGATACTTTTGTTTACCATGTTGATGGTTGAAACTACATTTGTGGCTGTCAATCCATATAGCCTATTCCGGAGTGGACCAGAATTATAGAGTTGCAGGTTGCAAATTCAGTACAGTTGTTGAAATTAGAATTGAGAAAGTATGAAAGACCAAATCAGAAGTCTTCGAAAGTACAAGTCATCAAGTCAAATTCAAATTGACTGCTGTTTTCTTGACACAGTGCAATTGAGACCTGTCATGCAGGACTCCTTTCAAATAAATGTCGCATGAAGAGGACACATTTTAAGGGGGTTAGGGAAGTCATGGCACGCTAACCACAATTGCCTATACACATACACACACTTGTGTGAGCACACATATATTGGGAAAAGGTACAAATATACCCTTGTAGTATGTGTGTGGGAACCAATACACCCTTGTTCTTTTTTTCGGAACAAGGGGTATATTTGTTCGGAAAAATAGAACATGGGTATATTTGTTCCTACACCCATCCTACACGGGTATATTTGTACCTTTTTCCGACATATATTTGTATATTATGCATATTAATATTTTCTAGCACATAAATTGTGATCTGTTTTAAATTTCAGTTCATGTATGCACAAAACAAAAATTAGTCCATATTTTTCGCCATCACTTTGCATTAGTACTTTACATTAATCTCAGTATTCAATTCCATCTACCCAATGACCCTATTTGAATAGGTCCAAAATTATTCTGATTAATCTTAAATTGTGGATTTAACACATGATCTGTAAATCTTTCCAATTTTATCCATACATTTAACAAACACAAACTTGTATATTCCAATCCGTAAGTGTGCAGAAAAAATGTGAATCAAATCTAAATCTTTCCAATTTTATCCATACATTTAACAAACACAAACTAGTATATTCCAATCCGTAAGTGTGCAGAAAAAATGTGAATCAAATCTAAATCATTTAAACATTTAAATATAAGTTCATTAGTGCTTCATTAGATGGGCCTTTTTTCATTAGTTTTGGAAAGTATTTTCTATTGCAGCTGTGGAATGTTTTACACATGGTACCCCCTACAAAAAACCATAAAATTTTGCATGAACCGCTAATCATTAATCTCTACTGTTTGGTAAAAATGTTGTCTCACTAGGCCAATAAGACAAAAATAGACACTACCAAATGGGCCCTTATTATTTTAATCATTAATCTCTCTCCATAGTCCATAGTATGATTGTATTAAACATTCCTCGTCTTTTTTTGTGTAGGTCTTGCTATATATGATACGATGCAGTACATCCGATCTCCCATTAATACTATATGCCTAGGTCAGGCAGCATCTATGGCATCTCTACTGTTAGCTGCTGGAGCCAAGGGTGAGAGGCGGTCTCTCCCTAATGCTACAATAATGATTCATCAACCTTCTGGTGGATACAGTGGACAGGCTAAAGATATGACAATTCACACAAAACAGATTGTTCGGGTTTGGGATGCGCTAAATGTGTTGTACTCAAAACACACTGGGCAATCTGTGGAAATAATTCAGAAAAATATGGATAGAGATTATTTTATGACCCCTGAAGAGGCAAAAGAGTTTGGGATAATTGATGAGGTCATTGATCAACGACCACTGTCTCTGGTGACTGATGTTATTGCTCAAGAGGTCAAAGATAAAAGTTCAACCTAGAAGATGACACATTGTGATAATTTCAAATTAGACTCTTTGCAAGTCTTGCCGAGTATAAATGAATTGCTATAAGTTGCTCCTGGAGGTCTTGCTTCAAGGGTCTTGCTTCAAGGAAGTACTGAACTTATAGAATTGGATATTTCATTTTATACAAATGAAGATACTGGCTATTGCTTATGATCTTGCTGATTTTTACTTATTGGTTTTTAAATTGAAATTGCTACAATTGTTTTGCATTGTTTATTAAACATATGCATGTGTGTGTATGCATGCATGATCTCATCTAAAGTAGATAGAGTCCATATTTAAGCAATTGAGGATAGGCATGGACTCGGGCCGGGTCGGGCCCGGTTTGTAAGTGATGGGCTCGGGTCGGGCCGCCGGTTTGTAAGTGATGGACTCGGGCCGCCGGTTTGTAAGTGATTGGCCTGGGACCGGCCTGAGGTCTGGACGGTACGGGCCGGGCCACTCCCAGGTCACGGGTCGGGCCATCTGCCAGACTGGGCCGGTTAAATCCATTTTTTAATAATTTATACTTTATAGTTTTATACAAGTATTAAAAACAAACTTCAAGTGCATTTATTTGAAATGAAATAGGAACTACATTTGACAAGTTACAATTGAGAATGGAAGGTAGGGGTGGACCGGTTCAGGCCCGGCCTAGGGGTGGACCGGTTTCGGTTCCGGCCCGGTTCGGGCCTCGATTCAAGAAGGGGAGGCCCGGAACCGGCCCAGGTAAACCCCGGGTTCGGGTCGGCCCGGCCCTCGGTTCTATTTTTTTTTTTGGCTTTTCCTAGTTAACCTCCAACCCTCCCCCACACCCCCAAATCAACCCTAACCATCTCAAATGGCCCAAAATGCCCAGCCCAACCCAAAAACTTAAAAAAAATTCAAAAAAAAAAAAAAAAAAAGGGCCGGCCCGGGCCCGAACCGGCTGGGCCGGCTCACCTTTTGAAGGGCCCGAGCCCGAACCGCCATCCCACCGGGCCCGGAACCGGTTCACCTGTCTGGGTCGGGCCCGCACAGTAGCGGGCCGGTCCGGTTCCGGGCCGGTTGGCCCGACTCGAGTCCACCCCTAGCCCGGCCGGGCCTCGGTTCTTGAAAGGGGAGGCCTGGAACTGGCCCGGGTAACCCCTGGTCCGGTTCGGGTTGGGCCTCGGTTCATATATTTTTTTGATCTTTTGGCTTTTCCCAATTAACCCCAACCCTCCCCCCTCACCCCCAAACCACCTCAAATGGCCCATCATACCCAGCCCAACCCAAAAACTTAAAAAAAATTCAAAAAAAAAATTGGCCCGGACCGGGCCCGAACCGGCCGGGCCGGTTCACTATTTAGCAGCCTCGGGCCCGAACTGCCTACCTCACCGGGCCGGGTGGCCTGAACTGGGCACCAACCGGTTCACCGGGCCGGTCTGAGCTCGCACAGTAGCGGGCCGGTCCAATTCTGGGCCGATTGGCCTGACCCGATTCCACTCCTAATTGAAGGTAGGGTTGGACTCGGTTCGGGTCGGGCCCCGTTCGGGCCTTGAACCGGTCGGGCCTCGGTTCAAGGTATGGGAGGCCCGGAACCGGCCCAGGTAACCCCCGGGTCCGGGCCGGGCCGGGCCTTGGTTCTATTTTTTTTTTGGCTTTTCCTAGTTAACCCCCAACCCTCCCCCTCACCCCCAAACCAACCCTAACCACCTCAAACGGCCCATAATACCCAGCCCAACCAAAAAACTTAAAAAAAAATCAAAAAAAAAACTTGGCTCGGCCCGGGCCCGCACAGTAGCAGGTCGGTCCGGTTTCGGCCCGGTTGGCCTGACCCGAGTCCACCCCTAATTGAAGGTAAAATTAAAACATGAATTACTAATCAATCAGAATCTTCGTAATAGGTAGGGTTGGACTCGGGTTCGGGTCGGGTCCGGGTCGGATCTAGGCCCGGGCGGGCCGGTGGTTCAGCAATGGTGGACCCGGGACCGACTCGGGTAGCCACTGGGTCCGGGCCGGGCCTCCGGTTTGGGTATATATATTTTTGCTTTCCTAACCCCCCACCCTCCCAAACCCCCCCAAACCCGTCCTAACCATCAACCCCAACCCGGGTGGAATCCCAAAAAATGAAAAAAAAATTTGGCCCGGACCCGGGCCTGACTCGGCCGGGCCAGTTCGCCAAATGTGAGACCCAGCCCGGACCCGCACTACCCACCGGGCCTAGGCCCGACCCGGACCCGAGAATCGGGCCGGTCCGTGTATGACACTCCATAAATTTAATAAAAAGAATTTAATATTAACTAATAAGATGTGGTATTCATTTGTGGATAAAATTTCTTTAGGTTATGTTTCGGACGAAAGATCTTTTAAAGAGGGTAGAATGTGACACCTCGAAAATTTTAAATAAGATAAATAAAATTTATTAGTTAGCAAAATGTTACGAAAGGAACATTTTAATAATTAAGTGGATCAAATAAAATTTTAACACCAGTGACATTTTTAATCAGATAAAAATGTTTCAATAATAAAAGTGACGACTTTATAATAATTAGGTTGAACAGATAGGACCTTGACTTAAATAACAAAAGTGACATTTTTGTAACAAGTGATAATTATACATATGACATAAATAAATAGAAGTGACATTTTAACGATTTTAAAGATATTAATTAATAATGTATACAAAATACACCAAATACCACACCAAATAACAAACTCAAGATGTTGACTTTTCTAACTTAATAATAATGAATAACCCACATCCAAACATATCCAATATATTCATGCACGGAGCATATACTATATTTATGTTAGTCATCTAAAGAAACATGGGCATGAACCTGGACTACCAAAGAAGCATCCTTCATGCATATTACTAAAACACCTGCCAGCCAAATCTTTAAAATAATAAGGAGGTAGGATCATACACAGCTACAACTCACATGGGCATGCTCAAGATAATTGGAAGAGGCCAAGTATAATCAACTCACGAGCCAAAACCTTCGGCTGAAATCAACTAAGGCAACGTGGAGAATCAGAATTCACAAACTCTAATGCTATCTACCATCGACCTCCACCTATAAATAGCTACCCAGACCAACGTTGCACACCCGGAAGTTGAGCTCGAGCTATACATACGTATATACATATTTATATACAAATATTCGACCCTTCGTTCTAGCCAAGGCCGAGCCGTGAAAACACTCTAAAAACCTTCCCCTTCATAAGAGGAAGCCAACGGAAGAAAAATCAAGCAAAACGGTCGTGAAACGTGGAAGAACGAGGTCGCCGGATTTGCAAGCCGGAGAAACGGGTCTTCAGCAAACGCTCAGATTTGGGCGTAGTTAGGGGTGGCAGAGCTTCTCCTCGACGTCAGGATCATTTTGCAACTTGAATCGTCAAAATCCGTTACCTGTAAGTCAAGTTATAGCTTGCCGAAGTTTTCTAATTTCCGACGAAGTCGCCGGAATAACGACCTGAAGAAGATGACCCAGTTGTCTGGGGCAGAACTTTTGGGCCGGGTCAGTTTAATGCGCCAGGTCGGCCCAGTTTCGAAAAAATTAAAAATCAAATAGTAAATGAAATCAATAAAATATGGAAAAATATAAATTAAATACCTAGTATAAATATACATATTTGGACCAACCAGAATTGAAAGATAATATTTTTAGCTATTTTTAGTTGATTTAATTGTAATTGGGCCAAGTTGTACACATTTAGCAAAATATTAACTAAATAACGAAAATAATTATGAAATAAATATTGGAGTAAACTAGATTAAATATATGAATAACTAGGACATTTGGGACCATTTATAATTAATAAAATATATGATTAGTATATTTAATTGTAATTAAAGCAGTTAATAGATATATGAAATTAAATGAATAAATAAGGGAAATAATTCTAAAATAAATATATGGACAACCTAATTCAAATATAGACCCAAAATATAGTTATGGACGGTTATAAATTTATAAAATCGATTCTTAAGCTATTTAATTTAATTGGACCATATAAAACTAGTTAAGTAATTGGATAAGGAAATTTTGATATTAATGTTGAAATAAATAAATCACTAAGATTGAAAATAATATTCTGGACTAAAAATAATGTTTGGATAAAATAAGGAAAAGAAAATAAAGTTGGGTTAGCTAGTATAAATGAATGACTATATTTGGACTTAATAAATAAATTATTGAATTAGTCGACTAATTAAATTAGTTTGATTAAATTAATAATTATTTTGCTTGATTATTATTGATTCTAATTTCATATAAGTTATTAAACTATTTGAACTTATAAAAATTAGTTGATTAATATAAATAAATAATAAATAAATTAATTAAGTAATGGGTACTTAATAATTTAGTTATTTGACTTTATTGGACTAGTTTGACTAAATCAATTAGTTTAATGGATAAATTAGTTAAATTATGGACTTGGTAATATTGTTGGACTTTATAGTAAAAATAGAAAATTCAAACGAAATTAGAATTTGGTCATTGGCCTTAATTGAATTGGATTAATGTATTTAGCTATATTGATATAATTAAACTTATTTAGTTGATGAAGTTAGTTCAATTAAATTAGTTAATCAAATAAAACATCTGGAGGGTTGGATTAGTTAATGTAATTAGGTTAGTTAGTATAAATATACTAATGAGCTAATTAAAGTTGTTATTAAGATTAGATTATCATTAATGATTATTATTTTGAATTATTGCGTACGCTACATTATTATTAAAAGATTTATTAAATAAACTATATAAGTTATGAAAACTGACTCTTGGACTGAAATTGATTATTTAATTCGAAATACTAAAATCATTATGTAATTAATTTAATTAGACTAGTTAACTAATCAACCAAATAAATTAAAGTAAATTATGGAGGGGATTAGTATGGTCAAAGAAAATAATAAGGTTGGACTGGAAATTAACATTTTAAATAAGGTTTATGAATCTAACCTAATAGTTATATTTAAAGAAGGAATTATAAAATTAAAATAATTAAAAGTGGGATAGATAGGAAATAACAAAAATAATAGAATAGTTATTGATTTAGAATTTTGATATATATTAGAAGGAGAATTCAAGTGAAGACCAAGTTAGAGATTTCATTAAGAGGATTAGGAGCATCAGAACTTAAGGTAAGTTTCTCTGTCAATCCAAAATTGTTTCCTCGTATTATGTGTATTTTTGTTTATTATGCATTATGTGATTAAGTGTGAATTTTGAATTATGTGTATGTGATTTTGAGGAGATATTAGATCTATGGTATTTGAGAAGTGCAAACTAAGTACTTTTGAGTATTAAATA